AGCCACACAGCCAATAAATAAACAAACAAACAAATATCCATGAAGTCACCACCAACATGAAAACTAGGACATGAATTTACATTGACATTTACCTCTTTGACCCTCCATTGCATCACCCAGCCTCTTCCCACTCAAGGTAACACTATCTAAATCATCATTCTCTTGCTTTTCTTTTTAATATCACAGGTGTATATATATATATATATATATATATATATATATATATATTCCTAAACAGTTCTGGGGGGGCAGCTTAGAAGTTATTAACTTTATAAGAAGTCTATCACATGCTGTATGTAATTCTTAGACTTACTCTTTTCACTCAATATTATATTGCTAGGATTAATGCACATTATGGCATATAACTGCAATAAATTCATTTGGAGTGCTGTATAAATATATTCTAATTTATTTATCTATTCTTCTACTTGTAGATGGGCATTTGGGTTGTCTTCAGATTTTGATATTAAAGAGAATGCTCATATGAACAATCTTGTGTATGTCCTGGTACTTGTTCAAGTTTCTTTTGGGTATATACCTGGAGCAAAATGGTAGGTCAAGGGGTTTCCAAATGTTTATCTTTACAGGGTAATGACAAACTTTCAAAGGAGGCTGTACCAATTTATACTCCCACTAGAAATGACTAAAAGATTCTGCTGATCCACATCCTCTAGATATGGTCCAACTTAAAAAAGTTTTTTTAAGTTATGGCAACATAGGCACAATATCAAGCCTACCATTTTAACTATGTCTAAGGGTACAGTTCAGTGATATTAAGTACATTCATATTGTTGTGCAATAATCACCCACCACATCCATCTCCTGAACTTTTTCATCTTCCCAAACTGAAACTCTGTGCCCATTAAACAATAACTCTCCTCTCTCCTCTCCCCAGTCCTTAGCATCCACCATTCTACTTTCTGTGTCTATGGATTTCACTACTCTAAGTACCTCGTAGTGGAATCATACAGTATTCATACTTTTGTGACTGGCTTATTTCACTTAGTGTAATGTCTTCAAGGCTCATCTATGTTGCAGAATGTGTTAGAATTTCCTTCTTTTAAGACTGAATTTTATATATATATATATATATATATATATATATATATGGGCACATTTTGGTTATCCATTCATCCATCTATGAACACTTGGATTGCTAAGTATAAGGGAAGAAGGGAAAATTGGAGTTTGAGTGAAAGAACTGGATAGGTTCAGTCTGGGATATCCAAACGGAAATGCCCAGTTGGCAGTTAAGTTACTAGGTCTGAGAATCAGAAAAGAAACTTGAGCTACAGATATTATTTCATGAATTATCAGTGGGTAAATGGTAACTGAAGCTACTGAAGAAAGCAAGATGACAGGGAAAGTGAATAGAATGAGAAAAAACTAGTTCAAGGATTATGTGCTAGGTGGTTTAATAAGAACCAGTAACAATAACAGTTAACACTTATTGTGACCTTTCTATGAGCCGGGTACCATTCTAAATATTTTGCTCAAATAATTTAAAAAAAAAACAACTTTGGACTTATTATTATGCCATTTTACATTTAAGGAAACCAAGGCACAATGCAGTGAAATAATTTGCCTGAAATTGCACATTAAATTGAGTGGTGAAGCCAAGATTTGAAGACAGGTAGCCTGACGCCAGAATTTTGTTCTCAACCCTATACAAACCTCACAGTAATTCTGGAAGGTAGGTATTTTTACCTCTACTTCATAGATTAAAAAAAAAAAATGAGGCTCAGAGAAATTAAATTAACTTGCTAGAGTAATACAGCTTGCATGAAGTAGGATTACGATTCAAACGTAAAGACCATATCCTTTAATACGTCAGTTATGAGAAGAGATTTAATTTCTCTCATAATGTTTTACAATGCCTCGCCTAGTACTAAATATTTGTTTAAAAAATGGTATTATTATCCTTAATTATTACTACTAATAATGTAAGAACACTGACGTTTAGCTCCAATTTACCTTTCACAGGAAGTTACTTGAGGTTGTACCACAACATAAAAAAGGTATAAACTAAGGCGGAAGATGTGGGTCCAGGAAATAGTGACTCGTACCCTAGAGAATAGTGAAAGGAAGTCCCAGTACAAAAGCCTTATAGTAGTCATAGAAATTGGAGCAGGACAGTGAATTTTTGGACAGTGGTCTTCATTGAGAAAACTTTGAAATCTAAAAATTAGTACAATGAGACTTTAGAGATATGATAAAGGAATCTGGTAGCATGTAGTAAAGACGTCACTGAATTGCCTCTAGCACTGTTCTTGAACAAAGGGCATTAGGGTCATGATATTGTTGCCCTAGAGAAGGAAATGTTATCCTAGCAGACAGTTCTGTAGTAAATATTAACATAGGAATAATTGAAATGCTTTTTATTACTGTATTTCACTGATTGTAAGACTTTTCCCCCCATATTTTAAACCTCTGGATGGGATGCATCTTAAAATCAATGGTGTGTCATGGTTTAATTATTTTCTTTCTTAATAGTACATAAAATAATAGTGCATCTTCTAATCAATAGCATGTTGGATTTGATCAACTATGTGTGCCACAAACAGTTTTATATGCTTTATAATATTACTCTTTCAAATTTAATCTTCCTAACAGTTTCACGTAGCTGATGCTATTACTATTTTATAGACAAGGAAACTGAGGCTCAAAGATGTTAAACAAGGCTTCCCTGGTGGCGCAGTGGTTGAGAATCTGCCTGCCAATGCAGGGGACACGAGTTTGAGCCACGGTCTGGGAATATCCCACATGCCGCAGAGCAACTAGGCCCGTGAGCCACAACTACTGAGCCTGTGCGTCTGGAGCCTGTGCTCCCCAACAAGAGAGGCCGCGACAGTGAGAGGCCCGCACATCGCGATGAAGAGTAGCCCCCGCTCGCCGCAACTAGAGAAAGCCCTCGCACAGAAACGAAGACCCAACACACCCCAAAATAAATAAATAAATAAATTTATTTATTTATTTTTAAAAAAAGATGTTAAACAATATGCTCAAGGACTGCTGTCAACTAAGTGGCAAAGCCAGAATTGAAAACCAGGTCTGGGGAATTCCCTGGTGGTCCAGTGGTTAGGACTCAGTGTTCTCACTGTCGGGGCCCTGGGCTCAATCCAGAAACCTCGTGGCATGGCCAAAAAGAAAAAAAACAGAAAAAGAAAACCAAGCCTTACTTCAAAGGTCATGCTCTGTTGCACCTCAACATTTACCATGGGTGATACAAAGCTGAATAAAAACCATCGAAGTTGAATAGTTCAGGTGGGATGAAGTTTTTCCAACTCCTCCAGAAAGAACCAATCTTGCCCTCATCTGTGCTCCCATAACATTTTATGAGTACCTCTGTGGATGTAAAATGTCACCTGCCATATCAGCAAACATAGGATATTGTGGCCATCAAGACATCAGCCACTACATCAGCCCTGAGGCAACTCAGGATAGAGAAAAACAAACAGGCTGCTGGTCACCAAGCTGTCAGCCACTGCAGCTGTCCCCAATGGTGCAACCTGAGGGGATTCAGGATGGAGTAAAAAACAGGATACTGGCCCTAGACAGTTAAGGTGCATATCAAAGGAAGGATATCAATAAGCCCAAACTCTTGCATCTTCCCATACACAGCTAAATTCATTAACTTGAGATGTCTGGTTTTTCTTCAATTAGCAGTAATCTTTTGATTGCCAACTACCTGGTTTTTGTTGCAAAAACTCCTATATATCCTTGCTCCTCCCTTACCTCTTTGGAGCAGTGTCTCAGAGCTGAAAGGCTGCCTCCCGGGCTTAAGGCCTCAGAAAATCCACGCGGAATAAAATATAACTCCCAACTTTCAGGTTGTGCAATTTTTTTCAGTTGACACCTCTAGTATATGTTGTTATAATGTATAACTTACAGGGAAGTCAGTAGTAGTATCTTAATCACTCTTTCCAACCTTAACAGTGCCTACCACTGAGCCTGACACATGAAGAGAAGCTCAATATCTGTTAAAAGGAAACAGGGTCTCTGCCACTAAGTGTAAAGAGGAGACAAGAAAGGCACATATAACTAATAAAGGCCAAATATAGTGTTATAGGAAAATTATAAATAAAATGCATTGGAGTTTACGAGAAGAGAAAAAAACGATAGAGAGTACAGGTCAAGGGGAAACAGTACAGCCAGCTTCCAGATTTTCCTACACACTCACACAGACACAGTCTGGAAAAGCTGAAAAGGCTGAAACCAAGCTAATGAGACAATTTCTCTACCCATTTTAAAATTTAATGAGTTACCAGCATTTATAGACTGAACTTGTAAAATTTCATATAAAATCAGGATTTTTGGATTTTCTTGAAAAATGGGAAGGTATTGGAAACTGGGTGCTCATTCTCCAAGGGAAATTGGTTGGATGTAGCAATTGTTCCCTTCAGATAAAGTTAGTGCTCCCTTGCTCATCGTAGTACCTCCCACCATTTTCTTACGCCCACCCAGTGTAAAATACTTTATACCTGACCATGATGGGTATTTGGGTTTAGGACCCCTTCTCAAGACAAACCGCTCACTGCTCTATTACACACCGGGTATTTTCAAGCACCGTGTCTCTGCCTGGAAAGACTTTGCTTTCTACAAAAGCACTCAGACTTCTCTAAGCGACTGCTTCAATTCCTTCTACTAGCTTTCTCTGGTCATCCCCTCAACCGGGTCACCGCAGCATTCTGGTCATACCTCTACTAAAACCCCAATCACACCGTATGTACAAGTTTTTCTCTTTTACTAGGATGTGAGTGCCTGGAAGCCAGCGGCCCACGATTCATTGACGTTCGCGCCCCAAATCCGTGGCCCGGCATCTAAACACAGGCATTCGGTACGTGTGTGCGGAAGTCAATCTCCCCACTTTACGCAAACCTAGGCTAAACTACCTACTCGACCTTAGATGTGGGACTGAGACAGAAACGCAGACGAGTCAAAACAAGTGGATTTTGGGCGAGAAGAAAGCACACCCCACCACTACCGCGAGAAAACGCTACCGGACGAGGTTCCGCCGCCGTAATTCCGTTTCAGCGGCTCCAGTTCCAACTCTCGCGAGATTCGGCCTGAGCACCAGCCCATAAGCCCCAAAGACATGCAGCTCGGTTTCCGCGGGATTCTCGCGGTAGCGCGACACGCCAGGAGGAGCACTTCCGGCGCTGCGCCCAGGAAGCGGAAGTGAGGCTTCCAGGCTGAGACTGTCGGTGTGTTACTCGGCTGTCCTGAAATCTAGGAAAAAAAAAATCGTTTTCGTTTCACTTTCCCTGGCTTTCGAGCGCTTCCCCCCTGGCGGGTGGGAGTGCAGAGACTGAAGCGCAAGATGAGCACCATGTTTGCAGACACGCTGCTCATCGTGTTTATCTCCGTGTGTACGGCTCTGCTCGCCGAGGGTGAGAGCGGCTGCTTCTCTGACGTTTGATCAGTCCCCGAGGGAAGGATCCTAGGCCCTGGGTCCCTCGAGCCTAGGGAGAGGTCGCGAGCCTTGGCGGGGGTGGGAGTGGGGTTCATCTCCATTCCAGGGAATCTTACCTCCAGGAGCGGGAGGGGTAGTGTGGAATCGATTGCCGAGGTTTCTTCGGTCTAGGGGAGGTTTCACTTGCGTGTTTGTGAAGACACCTTCGTATCGTGTCACAGTTTTGGTTGAAGATTCAGTTGTCTTAACGTTTGAAAAAAGTTAACTATTGGTGAATACAAAGCAAAAAATTGAAATCCATTCTTATCCAACGGTAACCACTAATAAAGGCCGTTGACCGTTGCAAACATTTCTCTATTAGCATGCTGCTTTTAATGTTTCAGGTATAACCTGGGTCCTGGTTTACAGGACAGACAAGTACAAGAGACTGAAGGCAGAAGTGGAAAAACAGAGTAAAAAATGTGAGTATGGGGCTTCCCTGGTGGCGCAGTGGTTGGGAGTCCGCCTGCCGATGCAGGGGACACGGGTTCGTGCCCCGGTCTGGGAAGATCCCACATGCCGCGGAGCGGCTGGGCCCGTGAGCCATGGCCGCTGGGCCTGCGCTTCCGGAGCCTGCGCTTCCGGAGCCTGCGCTCCGCAACGGGAGAGGCCACGACAGTGAGACCTGCGTACCGCAAAAAAAAAAAAAAAGTGAGTATGGCAACATCCTTTAAAAACAGTTTCAATACATCAGGCTCACTGAGTGCATGTTCACAGTACATATTTTAGGAGCATCAGCTGATGTAAAAACTTCATAGGAATACAAAGGTGAATCTGACTAGAATTGAAGTCTGTTTAGAAATGTAAGATTTTGTTTTTTTTAAAGAAAACTTTTTTTAATAAATTTATTTATTTTATTTTTGGCTGCATTGGGTCTTCATTGCTGCGTGCAGGCTTTCTCTAGTTCCGGCGAGCGGGGACTATTCTTCATTGCGGTGTGTAGGCTTCTCACTGTGGTGGCTTCTCGTTGTGGAGCACGGGCTCTAGGCACACAGGCTTCAGTAGCTGTGGCACGCAGGCTCAGTAGTTGTGGCTTGCAGGCTCTAGAGCGCAGGCTCAGTAGTTGTGGCACACGGGCTTAGTTGCTCTGCGGCATGTGGGATCTGCCTGGACCAGGGCTTGAACCTGTGTCCCCTGCATTGGCAGGTGGAGTCTTAACCACTGCGCCACCAGGGAAGTCCCGAAATATAAGACTTTTATGCAGAATACGTAATACAAACCTCAGTGGAGTGACTGACAAGAGAGGTACTTATTATGTGCTGTGGTGGTTCTAAAGAAGAGACCCCATTCAGTTGTGAGGGGCCATGGAAGCCTTTGCGATGCAGATAGCCTTGCAGTCCTTCATGCATAGTTAGAATTTGGACAGAGGATGAGATGAGGAAGGAGTTCCAGACAAAGGAAATAGCATACGTGCAAAAAGGGAAATTTTAGCTAGTAAGGTGTGTTTGGAGAACAACAGGTCATAATGATTGGTATCAAGGTAAGTGGTGTCTTCAGGGATAAGCCAACTTTCATTTGGGTCTGATGGTTGAAGGAGTATTTGAGGAAAAGTTTAAGAACAAGTTGAGTTTGTTGTTTTTGAAATAAAACAGGAATTCCACAGGATACAGCTGAGGGGGCTGCTATAGGTATAATGTGAATGGTTCCTTACAAGCTTGATTTGGTTTTCAGTCTCCTTTTCTGCCTTATAAAGATTAACTCTGACTTTCACATCTTAAAATTCTTGTGACTTTCTGTATTCTATGACTTTTCTGTATGTCTTCATAAGAGTTTGAAGTTTTCTTTTTTACAACATCCCATTTCTAATATCCACATAGTAACAATTTGTGGTCAGTTGTGTAAAATTATTCTCCTTTTCTAGAAAAGGAGATTGAGACTCAGAAAGGTTAAATGATGTATTAATGTCTCAGAGCAAACAAAGAATTAAAAACCAAATTCAGGCCTTTTAAGTTACGGTTTACTGTTCCTTCATTTATTCAATGTTGTTAGTGCACCTCAACATATTTAAAACCAAACTCATTATCTTTACCTTCACACATGTGATCCTTTTCCAGTATTTCCCTATTCGGTGAATGGTACTTCCTTGCTTCCAATGGTGCAAGCCAGAAACCTTACTATACTTTCTTCATTTGGCTTTCAGGACACCACACTCTCTTGGGTTTGCACTTACCTTGTCAATTGGTCGTTCTTTTGCAGTTTCCTTTTTGGTTCCTCTTCTTGACCTCCTGTTGTTGGGAGTGACTCAAAATTAATTTTTTTTCCTCTATACTCCCTTAATGAACTCATTTATGTGCTCTATTTGCCAGTGACCCCCAAATTTATATCCTTAGCCCTCTCTACTAATGCAAGATTCAAATATCCAACTATCAACTTGTTAATTCCACTGGAATGTCTAATGTATATCTCAAACCCAACCTGTCCAAATTGAACACTGTTCCTCACTTCCAAGCCTGCTACATTAGTAGCCGTCACAGTGTCTTGGTCAGTGGTAATCCTGTCCTTGTGTAGGATATAAGGACATAATCCTTGTGTAGTTATCTTTGACTCTTCTCTCACAGCCCACATCCAGTACTGTTGGGCTGCCTTCAGATATATCTAGAATCTGCCCACTTTACATCACCTCCACTGCTAACTACCATAGTCCAAACTACCATCATCCTTTGCATGAGTTATTGTGATAGCCTCCAGCAAGTGGTCTTGTTTCTCTGTAATCTGTTCCCAAGATAGCAGCCAGAATAATCTTTTTAAAAGTATATCAGGGGCTTCCCTGGTGGCGCAGTGGTTGAGAGTCCGCCTGACGATGCAGGGGACACGGGTTCGTGCCCCGGTCTGGGAAGATCCCACATGCCGCGGAGCGGCTGGGCCCGTGAGCCATGGCCACTGAGCCTGCGCGTCCAGAGCCTGTGCTCCGCAACGGGAGAGGCCACAACAGTGAGAGGCCTGTATACCGCAAAAAAAAAAAAAAAAAAGTATATCAGATCATGTCCCTTCTCTGCTCATAACTCTGTGATGGTGTCCCATTTTGATTCGGAGGAAAAGCCAAAGCTTTTACAGTGGCCTACAGAGGTCCCCTGTTACGGCTCTGATCTTCTTTCCCTCTCATTCACTCTGCTCCACCCTCACTGACCTGTTTGCTGTTCCTCATTACACATCAGCCTCACTCTTGTGCTGGGACCTATTTAATGGCTGTTCCCTCTACCTAGAATGTTCTTCTCTGTGATATCTGTTTACCTAACCCTTGTATCTTCTTCAAATCTTTGTTCACAGCTCACCTCAGTGAGTCTTAACTTGACCACCCTATTTAAAACTGCAGTCAGCCTACTTCCTGTACCACTGCCACTCCTCATCTTCCTTATCCTGCTGTTTTGTTTTGTTTTCATTCATCTGCTACAATGAACGCTTCACTAGGGCAGGGTTCTTTTTTTTTTTTTTATCATTGTTGTTTACTGATGTATTCCATGCACCTAGAAAAGTGGCTGGCACATGGGAAATGTCTAATAAATATTTGTTGATTCAAATACTTCCTTCTATCACCCTGTATGTGCAGTCCACTCTCAACCCCTGATCCTGTTGTTCTCCTGAAGAGTTTTCAGTCTTTCCACATCTCTTCATTTCCACCACCATCACTTAGCCTAAACTTCTATCACATTTCATTTGATTTACTGTGATAGACTCCTCATTGCTCCACCTGCAGCCACTCAAATTTATTCTGTTCAGTAACACCTGGAGTAGTTTTTCAAAACACAAATCTGATTGTGTTATTTGCCCTTCTTAAAACACTCAATTTCTTCCCATTGCTTTGAGGACAAAGGTGTGTCCTACAAGGCCTAGCGTGGTCGGTACCTCCCTCTCTCCCTCTCCGACCACATCTGCATCATGTTTTTCCCTCCTTTCTATTCTCTAGCCATCCTCTGAACTAATCTTGCTTTTTCCTACTATGGAGCTGGGCTTTTGTGTCTACTTTTTCCACTGTCTGGAATAATTTTCCCTTCTCATTTGTCTAATAAACTCCTAGTCATTCTTCAGATCTCAAAGCCTTATTTAGTCTCCCCAGCAGGATCAAATCTTCGGATCATGGACCTTAATTTATCCAGATACTTCTCCTTAGAGAACTTATCATAATTACAATTTTTTCTATGTATGATTATTATTATTCAAATAATGTCCTCTCCCCAACTGAACTGTAATTTCTATGAGGGCAAAGGCCCTTGTGTCTCTAGCACTTAACACAGGTCCTGGCACAGATTCACTACTTGATAAAAGCATGTTGAATAGCTTAAGGAATAAATGATCTCTATAACATAACATCACATGTATTCTTTGTGAGGAATTGTTCTGCTATGATCATAAACTAGTTAGCCAGCATGCAGTGGCATCCAAAGACAAATTTCTTCATATCACACGTATCATGGAGTAGTCTTATGAAATACAAAACTCCTTTAGTTTCGAATTTGTTTGGATTAATATTCTCATACCTTAAATACTTATATGAATTTGCTCTGTAGATTTTGGGCTTCCTTAGTATCCACAACTAATTGCCTTGTTTCTAGTTATCTGTATTATAGAAGTTAAGCCTCCTTCACCTGACACCTAAATTCAAAGTAATAGTTGCCAGGCAAAGCTTCCCTGGTTGTATTTTTTAATATAATTGACTAATGTGCTTGCTTTGAAGATAAGTATGAGGTAGGTTGGTGATGATTGGAATGTCTCATGGCATTTCTTATGGTCTTAAGTCCTCTATTTCAGGTAATCTATCAAAACTCAGTGAACATGCACAGACATAGAAAACAGATTTAATGATTATCAAAAGGGAAGGGTCGGGGGAGGGATAAATTAGGAGTTTGGGATTAGAAAATACAAACTACTATACATAAAATACATAAACAGCGAGGTACTACTATATAGCACAGGGAACTATATTCAATAGCTTGTAGTAAACTATAATGGAGAAGAATCTGCAAACGAACTTATGTATATATGTATAACTGAATCACTTTGCTGTACACCAGAAATTCACACAACATTGTAAATCAACTATACTTCAATTAAAAAAAAAAACACAAGAACTCAGTAAGCATGTATTATTTTCATTTATATGATCAGTTGACACATATGATTGCTTGCTCGCTATAGAGGTCACCATGATGAGTGCAGTACGCAATGAACGGGCATAGATACTATCTTCTAGATATTTGTAATCAAATGGATAACTATTATTTAGCATGGGATATTTAATAGGAAGAAATAAGGTAAATTCCCTGTTTGAACAAACGTCTTAATTGCAAACATAATCCCTTCTGACATTCTGTGTTCAAAATTTCGTATGGATCCAGGCAAGAAAAGTTTGTAGGGACCAAATTTATAGATGGCCCATGGGAATTCCCTGGTGGTCCAGTGGTTAGGACTCCACGCTTCCACTGCAGGGGGCACGGGTTCAATCCCTGGTTGGGGAGCTAAGATCCCACAAGCTGTGCAGTGTGACCAAAGAAAAAAAGAGAGAGATGGCCCAGGCATAGAACTTGTACATAACTATGATTAACATGTTAAAGGATCTAGTGGAAAATGTAGACAATATGCATGAACAGATGGGGATTTTCAGGAGATGGAAACTATAAAAAAGTGTCACATGGAAATGACAGAAATAAAAACATATCAGACATAAAGGATCCTTTGAGGAAATTATCCGATATGCAAGGCCTTAAAAAATTTTATCTCAGCCAACTATTGGAAAATACACTATACCAAGAGAAATGAGTAAACCAAAAAAAAAGGAAGATATGAACTCTAGGAAACAAGAGCGCCAACACAGGACTCAGGTGAAGGGAATTGCCTGGACGATGATGAAGGCAGATTTAGATCTGACATTCTTAGGAATGTCAGCTGTGCACCAGGCTGAGCTTGTAAGAGGGTGCTAGGAGAAACTTCTTCAGGAAAATTTATAATGCCTAATGATCTCACTTTGTACGGGAAAGATTTAGACAGCTAACTAAGAATTTGGGGCTGAATTAGTGATAAGTACGGAGACAACCAAACAAATTTTAAAATGCCATAAATCTAGGAAAAACTTGCAGGAAGTTAAATAGTTTGCTACATAAATTACCTGTGAACAGTATTTTCATGATCATAATTTTGTAAATGTTGAACTCACATTTAACCAAAATTACAACTATAACAATGGATTTTATGATGTAACTAGCTTATTTCAAGATATAGGGGTTAAAAGAAAAAAAAAACTTTATGGGAGTTCCTTGGTGGTCTAGTGGTTAGGATTTGGTGCTTTCACTGCCATGGCCTGGGTTCAGTCCCTGGTCGGGGAACTGAGATCCCACAAGCCACCGGTGCTACCAAAAAAGAAAAAAGGATATAGGGGTAAATATCAAAATAATCAGCTAAAAGAGGTAAAAGTGGTTGCTCTTTGAAATGAAGGAAATAGGGAGTGGGGGCAAGCATAAGACCATTGCTTATCTTTAAAACTGACTCTTTAAAATAAATGAGTGTTTTACTTTGGTTATTTATTTTTTTTAACTATTTTGTATTGGAGTATAGTTGATTAACAACATTATGTTACTTTCAGGTGTACAGCAAAGTGTTTCAGTTATACATACACATGTATCTGTTCTTTAAAATGTTTTCCAGTGACAACTCTCATTGGATGATCACCAACTTGTAGACTATTAAAATAGTTACTACCTGATATTTTAAACTTATGTAAAAATCTAATCTATTCACAACTTCAGGCAAACAAAAATTCTTTATGAGTATAAATAAGTAGGCAGCCACAGTTGAAAAAGTAGAAATTTTCTGTCTATTGAAACAATTTTGAATCAATCAGTACATTTTGGACTTTGATAGCTAATAATGAATTTAAGGTGACTAAAGTGTATTTTCACACATTTCAGTGAACAAACCAATCAATAGTAATAAACCAAACTGAAAGGAAGCCTTGCTATTTCATCTACTGTTTGTTCTGTAATAAAGCGATGGGAAGCACAGGCTCAAAATGTAAAAGAATAAAATGAAATGAAAAAAATAATTAAAACCTCAAAAAAAATTTGTAGGGTTTTTGAGGAATACAAAGAAATATAAATATATTTGAATCAGACTTAGGTGTAGATTTCGTATCTTGAGCAGATCTGATCCGAGGCATTATTTGGAGAATACTGGTGTTACCTACAAAGCTGTCCTATTGTGGTGGGGCCTTTGACAAAAGATGCTTTCATAAAGGTACCAAGCTGTTTGATTTAGGTGGTCACTAGACTTACGAGTGTGCTCTAAACGTCAGTAAGTCTTTTCTCGTTGTGTCACTTTAATAATGTAGACCAATGAAAGAACACTTCAGTAAATGAGAAAGATTAAAGTACTATATGTAATTGGATTCTTGTAACAAAATTATTTGAGAACATTTATTAAGTACGAATTATTGTAAAGTATGAAGTATTTCTTTAGTTTACAGTGCAACAGGATAAAGCTTTTAGAGTAATTTATAAACTGTTTGACAACTCTAATTCAGAATGCAGCAATACCAGGTCATGGGCAAAAAATGTGTTTCATAGTAGACGTCTTTTATTTTTGTCAACTCTGATATCTCCATTTCTTTTCTTTCTTTTTCTTTTTTAGAGGAGGATCTCCCTTTATTTTTTAAAATTAATTTATTTATTTTTGGCTGCCTTGGGTCTTCATTGCTGTGTGCGGGCTTTCTCTAGTTGCTGCGAGCAGGGGCTACTCTTAGTTGCGATGCGCGTGCTTCTCATTGCAGTGGCTTCTCTTGTTGCAGAGCACGGGCTCTAGGCGTGCGGGCTTCAGTAGTTGTGGCACGCGGGCTTAGTAGTTGTGGCTCGCGGGCTCTAGAGCGCAGTCTCGGTAGTTGTGGCGCACGGACTTAGTTGCCCTGTGGCATGTGGGATCTTCCCGGACCAGGGCTCGAACCCGTGTCCCCTGCATTGGCAGGCAGATTCTTAACCACTGCGCCACCAGGGAAGTCCAGTATCTCCATTTGTTGTTATAGGGTGAGGTTCTGGTGAATAAATATCAGCAAAAAGAGTTTCTTCGCAAATTCATGAGGTTAAAAAACCATTAGGTTAATTTATATTATCCCTAGAAAAGATTTATCTAGTCTTAATCCAGTGTGCTAGAAGATCTGGTTAATGTTCATTGTATTATCTTATGTTTCTGTTCTCTAGCCTTCTGACTTTTTTTTTCCCCTTGTTTTTTATGCAGTCATGGCTAAATGCCAAGTAGCTGTGTTATAGTCCTTCTGAGGTGGGAAAGAAATATTTCTTGTTTCTTTGGTTAATAATAATGATAAAGAACAAAGCATCAATGTTTCTGTCCATTTTGTCTTTTAAAATGTTATTTCTGTAACATCTTGTAGAATTTGACTTAATTTCCTTTTATGATCTTATACTAGTAGTTCATTCTAAATCTCTGTCTTGGGACTTCCCTGGTGGTCCAGTGGTTAAGACTCCAAACTTCCACTGCAGGGCACATGGGTTAGATCCCTGGTCAGGGAACTATGATCCTACATGCCGCCTGGTGCGGCCAAACAAACAAACAAAAAAAACCTCTTTTTTCCCCCTATATATGTCATGTTTTATCTTTTTATCTACCTAGAACAGTACCTGTCACTTAGACACCCAGTTCTCACACACACATTTTATTATAGTCAGAACTTTACCATTTTATTTTAGTCAGAACTTTACCATTTTATTTGTAATAGTGGAGTTAAATTGAATTTTATATCTCTTTGATAAAGGAGTAACACCAATTTTGCTTTTAGAATTCAGCATACTTAATATACTAAGGGAAAGATTCCTACCTGCTAATTCTCTTTAATGCAGCTTTCAGAAATAATGCATGTACTGTACTATTTGCTAGTAAAGGAAGTATACTAAGATAATATAAGAAACAGATAATGTAAATAGAGAAAAGGTAATTTTTGGTGTATCTATTGCTAGTCCATTCATAGGTGATTAAAGATAGTAAATATTAAATATAAATACGTTAACACTATTCTTCTTCAAAAGCTTACTGTTACTCTATCGTCATATTAATTGAAAAGCCTCAAAAAAAAATTAGTCGCAGCTTTTTTGGCTCTCCTGATCTTCCTACCCTGTGTATGTGTTGCCATTTTTCTGTACTATAATTGTTACTTGATTATGTGCCCTCACTAAATTGCTTTTTAGAGGGCAAGGATCATGTTTATCTTTTTATTTACCTAGAATGGTGCCTGTTAACTTAGGCAGCCAATAACTGAATGAATGAATGCCCACCTTCTGTGGTGAATATGAGAATGGTACTACAATTAATCACCTGAGAGCAGAATTTTTAAATTGTGCTTAGACTCTACCTAAGGCAATCACCCACAGCTAATGGTCTGAAAATCATCTCAGTTTTGATTATGACTTTGTGTTTATAAAGTCCTTTATGGGTATTTAATTAATGATGCTTACAATATTGCTGTTTTATTTTTAGAATATTGTGTCTACCTTTTACTGTCAGCAGGTGTGGGAGCATACCAGTTAACCATGACCATAATCAAAGGCAGCATGTAACTTTCTTGTAAGCTTCTTTCATTGGTTCAGCTGTGATAAAACATCCTTTGTTTCTTTTGTGTAATGCATAATTAATTTTTACTATGTTACTATGTTGTTTACAGTGGAAAAGAAGAAGGAAACAATAACGGAGTCAGCTGGTCGACAACAAAAAAAGAAAATAGGTAAGATGAGTTATTGGTATACAAAATATTGAAGTTTCTTGGAAGAAATAAATTCTTAGATAATGAAAATGTAATAAAGTATTTAGTAGTGGTAACTTATGTTTGTATAGTTTTATGGTCTACAAAGCACTTGCATATGTTATCTTACTTGATTCTCTCTCTTGTTTTTGCTCTTAGGTTTGAAATTTCAGTTTAGTGAAATGGTGTTGACAGTCATGGCTTTTGAACTTGGCTGAAGGTTCTTGGCATAGTTTGTAAAAGGGTATTGTTTTTCTTATCTGAGATGATTATTTCCAGTTAAGTCTGAGTTACTTGTATTTATTGTTGCCATAACTTCCTTACTGAGAATTGACTGGTGATGGAGATCTACCAAGATGTAGGAAATTTTCTGCTGAGTAATTTTACCTAGTCTGCACAATAATTATATGTTTTTGGTTTTCCAGTGTAATTTAGAATTTAATACAGAATGTAGTTCAATTCCAAAAAGACAATTTATAAGTGACTGCCTGTGATTTGTATTTATACTTTATGATGCTTCCTGATTCTACAATCAGAACAAAATGGTTGTGAAATTGTGTATTTGGCTCAGAAACTATGTCTCTATGCCTAGGTCACTGCTGTTAAATCCTGGGAGATTACTCTACCAGGCTAGACTATACAATTGTTCTGTTCTGGTTAAAGCTTTTCAGTTTAGTGTAGGGGTATCAGATATGTTCTAAATGACTTATTCATTTAGTTCCATGGCAAGATGCTACTGTACATCTGCTCTGTATGTGTCAGTCACTCTGGTGGGCATTGGAGAAACAAAGTAGGAAAAAATTCTGTCTTTTAAGACAGGGGTCCCCAACGCCTGGACCACGGACCATTATGGGGCCACACAGCAAGAGGTGAGTGGTGGGTGGGTGAGGGAGCGAAGGTTCATCTGCCGCTCCCCATAACTCTTCATCATATGCACTACCACCTGAACCATCCCCACACACACACACCCGCCCTCCTCGTCTGTGGAAAAATTGTCTTCCACGAGACCGGTCCCTGGTGCCAGAAAGGTTGGGAATGCTGTTTTAAGAGGTCTAAAGAGGAAAAACAGATCAATGCAGTGTAATACTTACTTTTTAGAGAGATATTCTGAGTGTCATAAAAGTAAAGAAGAAAGGATATCCAAACCAATCTAGAGGATCAGGTTTTCTTTAAGAGATAATGCTTAAGCTGAATCTTGAAGCTTTAGTGTGCGTTAACTAAGTAAAAATATAAATAAATAAAATACTGGTCAATTGAGTTCTTACCATCTGCAACACCCTGAAGTAAGCACTTGACATTTTTTTAATTCTCTTAACAATGGTATGTGGTAGTGAACAGTGTTACCTCAATTTTAGAGATGAGAAAATTGAGGTTTAAGTAACTTGCTCTTGGTCATTCAGTGGTATGATGGATTAAGTCATGGTAGAGAAGGGGTTTGAACCTAGTCATTCATAACTTTAAGAGTCTGCAGTTTTTTAAAATAAATTTATTTATTTATTTATGTTTGGCTGCTGTGGGTCTTCGTTGCTGCGCGTGGGCTTTCTGTAGTTGCAGCAAGCGGGGGCTACCCTTCTTTGCAGTGTGTGGGCTTCTCACTGTGGTGGCTTCTCTTGTTGTGTGGAGCACGGCTCTAGGCACGCGGGCTCAGTGGCTTGCAGGCTCTGGAGCACAGGCTCAGTAGTTGTGGCACATGGGCTTAGTTGCTCCACGGCATCTGGGATCTTCCCAGACCAGGGCTTGAACCCGTGTCCCCTGCATTGGCAGGCAGATTCTTAACCACTGCGCCACCAGGGAAGTCCCAAGAATCTGCATTTTTAAGCCTTGTATATTCTCGGTAGAAGGATAGGCATATACAAAAGCATAGAGGGATCAAATAGCAAGGTATATACCTGGAACTATAAATAGTTTAGTATAACAACTAAAAAAGAAGGTATGTGTAAAGTACAAGCAGACAAGGCTAGAGAAATAAGTAGGGCCTAAACTAAGGTAAGGAGGTTAATGTATGCAGAAGTCTTCCTGTAACCATTAAGGGACTTAAACAGATTTGAAATCAGATTTTAAGGAAGACAACTCTGGCAGTAGTTTGGAGGATAAATCAGAGAGGGGATCATTCTGGAGGCAGGGAAGTTAATGAGGCTTTTTCAGTATCCTAGGCATGCAAATGGCAAGAACCTGAACCTAGGCGTTGACAATGGGAATGGTGCAGATTCAGTGGATATAGAGGAAGTAGATGTAACAGGACTTGAAGGCCTTTTTTTTTTTCCTTAATTTTATTTATTTATTTGGCTGCATTGGGTCTTCGTTGCTGCACACAGGCTTTCTCTAGCTGCGGCGAGCAGGGGCTACTCTTCATCGCGGTGCGTGGCCTTCTCATTGCGGTGGCTTCTCTTCGTTGCGGAGCACAGGCTCTAGGTGCACGGGCTTCAGTAGTTGTGGCACGCAGGCTCAGTAGTTGTGGCTCGTGGGCTCTAGAGCACAGGCTCAGTAGTTGTGGCACATGGGCCTAGTTGCTCCATAGCATGTGGGATCATCCCGGACCAGGGATTGAACCCAAGTCCCCTGCATTGGCAGGCGGATTCTTAACCACTGTGCCACCAGGGAAGTCCCAGGACTTGCAGACTTTTTAGATGTAAGGTATGTAGAGATGAGTGAGTCTGGGGAAAAGCCCAGATTTCTGATTAGGAGAGGAAATATCAGAGAAATTGCAGATTGGGATGAGGAAGAGGAGAGGATGATTTCAGGTTTGAACATGTTAGATTTGCAGTGTCTGTGTGACAATAGGGCGGAAATACTTGGTACACTGTTGGATGTATGGTTTGGAGCTGGCAGAGAGATAAAGGCTACAAATAGAATTTAGAATCATATGATTATAAATTATAATTGAGTCCACAAGGTAAATGAAATCACACAGGGAGACCATATAAAGTAAGAAAAGCAAAGAGCTAAGGATGGAGAGTTTTGAGACATAGAAATTTAAGGGGTAGAAGAAGTGGAGCTTGAAAAGGTATTGCCAGAGAAGTTGGAAAGGAGTTGTGTCACGGAAGTTGAGGAGAGAGTTTCAGAGGACAGGAAGGGTTAGAGGCTGGGTATTAAATATCTAAGAGGCAAAACAGAGATAATTAGTGATTTAGCAAGAATAATTTCCGTGGCATGATAAGGGATAGAAGCCAGATTGTATAGATTAGGGAGATAATGCATGGTGAGGAAGTAAAGACATTGAACATGGGTAATTCTTTGGAGTAGCTTTGCTATAAAGGATAGGCAAGATATAAAAATGGAAGGCACATTACCCACTACCCTTAAAATTGACAGCACAAACTATCTATACTCAAAATTATTTTACCATGGAATGCTACCTTAAATTGTTTGCTCACCAAAATGTCATCAGAAGGTAAAAGAAATAATATTTATGAAGAGTTGCTTGTCAAAATCTAATAGGAGTTACAAGACATAATATTTGTTAGGAGTTGCTTGAAGGACCAACATCCTATCCATTCTGTAGATTTATAAATTGTACTCCTAAATTAAACCAGACTATCAGAAATCTGTAAACCTAAACTTGTATATAGTTTTGGACTTTATAAAATTGCTTCTACTCTATTTCTCCTTGACATTTGCACTATTAGACATGTCATGAAAAACTCAGCCAGATAAAATTTACTGTAGTTGCTATGGACTATTTTTGAGAACATTATCTACAACATTGCATGATACCCCTTTGACGAGAAATTATGGAAACTTTCTAGTAGTTTTCAGTGTCAAGACAAGCAGTGATTCTCATAAATAATTGATTTATTTTTTATCTTATTGACCCTGTGCTTGAACTGATGGTTTTTCCCTCCACTTTGAGACTGGCTGCTAATAAGCATAGAGTCAGATTTGCTATTCATCTCCAGCAAGATGAATTTTTATAATCTTATAAATCTTTATAAGACCAGTTAAATGTATTTTTGTATACTGACCCTATCTACAGTTTTGTTATTATGCAACCCTTACTTTCCCTTTGCTCAGATTCCCCACTTGGGTTTCTTTAAAATAAAAAATATATATGTATGACTTCCCTGGTGGCACAGAGGTTAAGAATCCACCTGCCAATGCAGGGGACACGGGTACAAGCCCTGATCCAGGAAGATCCCACATGCTGCAGAGCAGCTAAGCCCATGTGCCACAACTACTGAGCCTGCGCTCTAGAGCCCGCGAGCCACAACTACTGAAGCCCACGTGCCTAGAGCCCCTGCTCCACAAGAGAAGCCACCGCAATGAGAAGCCCGTGCACCGCAACAAAGAGTAGCCCCCGCTCGCCGCAACTAGAGAAAGCCTGTGAGCAGCAACGAAAACCCAATGCAGCCAAAAATAAATAAATAAATTTATTTTTAAAAAAGCAAACATATATATACAGTAATGGGGAGACTATAAAGAATGATATTGCTGCATTGAAAGAAGGGAGTTTTTAGTAAGAGGGGTGTGGTCAGCAATATTCAGTGTTTTAGAGAAGCAAAATGTCATTGATATCACTAGGTGAAGCTCTTAGAGATAATGGTCTTGGATAGAGACATTAATTTGAAACTGAGGTGTCTGAAGATTTTATGTTTCCCATTCTTAATGTCAGGAGCAGATGTCTTGGTTATTTTACGTTTCCTTCTCATAAAAGAGAAACTACTTTTGATGTATGAATTTTATTTAGATCTTTTGGCTGCAGTCAAGTTACCTCAAGTAATGAGGAATTTAAGGATATATGTGATCCAGAACTCAGGAAAAGCTGAACTAATTGGTTACAGGAAGGCAGGAACTGTGTTAAAGCAATTCCTGCAGGCAGAGCAAGCCCTGGGATAAAGCCAGACATTGGGCTCCACTATTAATTTTTAGTACTTCTCTCTCTTCTGTTGTTCAGCTTCCCCACTTTCTCTGCAGTGCTTCCGTAGCATTTAATTTTTGCCTGTGCCTAACTTTGGCTTGTCTCCTCTGGTTCTTTCTATATCGGC